TAGTAAATTTATAAGCCAGTGATTGTATTTTTAAAATGCAAAATTATTATGAACTCTATAGGGTGATACATAATTGGTTTTCAAAGATGCAGCTCATCCCTGCTTTATCTATCTGTCTGTCTTCAGTGCTGGTGGTGGCTCTTCCACTCAGCTACATACTGTTGCTGATGGATGTGTAACATGCAGACGTGATTGGTGAGATCATGCAGGTCAAGGAGTCATTTTATAAACCTGGTCCACTGTACAGACCCCCAATTTTCTTTTAGAAAAGTAATTTACCTAGAGCCCTGCCTGGGCCAAGTCAATGTCCTATCTTCCATTCCTCAGCCAACAACCTGTGATTTCTGTTAGAAGTGATTTCTACTCTGCTTGAGAACACAAGTTACCCTGGAGGGAATAAGTTCTAGGACACTTTCACAGACCAGATTCCAGAACTCAAGGAGATAGGATGATTGCACCTAACCATCAAGTATGTAAGAACCATTCCAGACCAGTGTGGGCCAAAGTGACCTAGTTATCCTGGATCTTTGGCATGTCAACTTCCTGTTCCTGTAACTAATGTGCATCTGCTAAATACTATTTCAGACACATCTCTCACTCTATTAGGTATTATCTTATTTAAAGACATAGGGAAGGGAAAGAGGTACACTCTCAAGTGGAAATGTCCTCTCCGATACTATGTTGTGCCCCTATTTTCTTACTGGTCACAGAAACATTCCAATGAAAACTGGTCAGTGCAGACCAAGGTGACTTAAGGGTTGCATTTATATATTTAGAGTATCATCTTCAACTTTTTAAAATAAGTTTTTTCTGTTGATATTTTAAAAACTAAATGAAAACAGAATGCATTACAATTCTTTATTACACATATAAAGCAGTTTTTCATTGCTTATTTATATATAAAGTATGTTGACACCAATTTGTGTCTTCATACATGTACTTTGGATAATGATGTCCATCACATTCCACCATTCTTGCTAACCCCCTGCCCTCTCCCTTTCCATTCCTCCCCTATTTCCTATCTAGAATTCATCTATTCCTCCCATGCTCGCCCTCCCTACCCCACTATGAATCAGCCTCCTTATATCAGAGAAAACATTCCACATTTGTTTTTTGGGGGGATTGGCTAACTTCACTTAGCATTATCTTCTACAACACCATTCATTTACCTGCAAATGCCATGATTTTATTCTCGTTTGTTGCTGAATAAAATTCCATTATGTATATATAACCCATATTTTTTTTTATCCGTGCATCCTCTAAAAGGCATCTAGGTTGGCTCCACAGTTTAGCTATTGTGAATTGTGCTGGTATAAACATTGATGTGGCTGTGTCCCTGTAGTATGCTGTTTTTAAGTCCTTTGGGTTTAGACTGAGGAGTGGAATAGCTGGGTCAAATGGTGGATCCATTTCCAGATTTCCAAGGAATCTCCATCCTGCTTTCCATATTGGCTGCACCAATTTTCAGTACCACAAGCAATGTATGAGTGTATCTTTTCCCTACATCCTCACCAACACTTATTGTCATTTGTCTTCATAATAGCTGCCAAAATAAAAGTTTTAAAACAGTAAATTCACACACACACACTTGGGTTTAGCTTTGGTGTCTCTGGACAAGACCCTGTGGAGTAGGAACCTACAAATACAATGTAATCCTACTGCCAGTTATGAACTAGGAATTTGTCCATGGGCAGGCCTCTGGAATCACACACAGCATCCCCCATAAAGTTGAGGATCCAATCGGGTGTGAGGCCTAGAGATGTCAGAGAAGCCTCACTGTTTCCTCCCTTTCTTTTGATAGTGATTTCTGGGCCAATAAAATTTCCTCTACTTTGACTATATTTTATGTATTATCTAAAAACTTTTCTTGCTTTTTTTATTTTTATTTTTAAAAATAGTTTTTAGTTGGACAGGATACCTTTATTTTATATATTTCTTTGCAATGTGGTGCTGAGGATCAAATCCAGTGCCTAACAGGTGCCAAGCAGGTGCTCTGTCAATGAGCCACAACCCCAGTCCCTTGTTTATAATTTCAAAGTTTTGTGGGCATTCTTGCATTCTGGTGATTTATGAACCTTCTCCTTTGAGGTTCATTGTAACTTTCTTCTTGGCATCCCAGCATTTCTGTCCCAACCAGACATGTTCCACAGTTATTTGTGGACCTCAAGTGTAACTAGAGGGACGAATAAATGATCATTTAGTTATCAAAGCAAACAGGGCAGTGTTTTCAGGATGAAATTCTTAAGAGAATGCTCATTATTAGATATCTATTTTTACTTATGTATTTAGCCATGGACTCTCTTGGTTTTTGCAGTGATCCACAAACCTGGTCCATAAACCAGCAGATTTCAGAAACTTTTCACATTGACAACTATTTTAAAATAGTTGCATTCTGATTGAGGCACATTTTACCAAGGGGAAATATTAAGATGCTTTTAAAGTGCTCATGAATTTTCCTGGCTAGAATATTACAGAGAGTTTTGCCAGTTTTCTTGCCACATTGTTTATCTCATTTGTGCTGAAAAACCTGTCAGATGCAAGGAATGCACCCCAGAAGCAAGCTCCTGCAGCTGACCACCCACAGACCCCCCACACCAACTGATCCAATTCTTAATCCCCCATTAATTGGGTGTCTGGTACTGTTGGATTGTTAATTATTGGGTAAAACCCAGTGTTTGCCCCCAAGGAGCCCAAGGTCTAGCTTGTTGGTTATAGGAACTGCTAGGTTGGTTATTCACTTTTCCTTGCCTCTCATGACAAATCTGAGCTCCATACACGGTCCTATATCTAGTGGCACTGCGGCTTAGGAAAATCTCTCATTTTGGTTAAGAAAACCAACAGCAATAATAATATCCCTCTTGATCGAAGGCGGGGTTCTGGCCCCAAGGTGTCCCTGGCTTTTTCCCTCTTCTCACCCACATATTCTTCTCCTCATTCTGGGCAAGACAACCGTGTACTGCAAATCTCTGGAATCCTGGGCATGTGCCTTCACCTTATCTGTCTTCTTTCAAGAGAAATGTTCCCATTTCACAAATGCAGCAAAACTGGTACCCCAAATACCTGGGCTGCTGTTACTGAGAAGCAAAAGTAAAAATATTGAAAATGTGGGCTGGGGCTGGGGCTCAGCCATAGAGCTCTCGCCTAGCACGTTCAAGTCACTGGGTTCCATCCTCAGCACCACAGGAAAATAAATGGATAAATAATGGTATTGGGTCCAACTCCAACTAGAAAAAATATTTTAAAAAATAAATACTGAAAAGGCAATGTATCTTGCCGCGTCTGGCTAACAGGAACCGAGTCTGGCGAGGGACAATGAGGTCAAGAAATACACAGGACACCAAGGTTCTTCATCCAAGAGTCTCTCTTTATTCCTCACATCCTCCCCTTATATCCCTCAAGCAGCAGGAGTGGAAAATTACTCAGAAAAAGGGAGGGAGAGGGGAGAAATTTGGCTATGACATCTGCCATTGTTAGACACCGAAACTTCTCTTATCAGGGAGTCCACCAGAACAGAAAAAGGTCAAGATGTTCCTAACGTTCCTGTGAAGCACATATGTCTCAGACAGATAGGCAGGAAAACCGCAAGCCTGCTTTCATGGCCTAGTGAGCTGGTCACTTTGACATGCATAACAAAGAACTGGGGGCTGGGCCTCAGGGGCCTGGGAAAGGCCTGCTACCAGCAAGTCCCCCTCTTTTGGTTTTTGCATGTCAAAGGGAATCAAGTAGCTCCTGTCTTAGGTCGTCCACTGCCCCAGCACTGCTTACCCGTCTCTGGGGAGGCCCCATTCCCCTGGCTTAGGTTGCAATGCAAGCGTGGAAGTTGCCCGTCACTGGGTACTACAAGATCAGCTCAGGGTGTTATGGCCAGCAAGACATTGTTGCGGTGAACATTCAACCGCCTCCATGTACAGGACTCATGACCGTCACTGTCAAAAGGCAGGTGTAGTTGGACCGTAAGATTAGGCAGCAAAGATTCTAGCACAGAAGGGCAGGGAGGAGAGGTATGCACAGAGGAAAGATATGGCAGAAATTCTTCTTTTAAGGAGGGTATTTATCTTCTGATCGGCCTGAAATATATCTCAGAAGGGCGATCATCCGTCTCCAAGCACTGATAGTGAACCTGTATTGGCTTAGAAACTAAGATATTAATTTGATCTTTAATGAATTGTACTATCCTATTTACAATGCAGGGTCCTATGGCTATCAATAGAAGGAGGCCCAGTAATGGTCCCAATAAGGGAAGGAGATAAGGCAAAAATCCGTTAAGTCCAGTCCAGAGAGGGTTTTCGAATAATTCCCTCCTTCTCTTTTCTAGTTCTTCTTGGAGCTGTTTAATTTTTGTGTGAACTATACCAGATTTATTAGCATAAAAACAGCACCTCTCCCCAAGGGCCAAACAAATGCCCCCTTGGTTAGCAGTCAGCAAATCTAAGCCCCACCTGTTTTGGAGAACTACCTCTGCTAGGGAATGTATTTGGTCCTGTAAGTCCTTAATGGTTCCCGACAGGGTTTGTACATCATCTATAAGTTGTTGAGATAGGCGGCGGTAGGAATGTATAGCCGTGCCCAGTCCTGCCGTGCCTGTGCCCACAGCAGCGGTTATCCCAAGGCCAACAAGGAGCAGTAGGGCCTGGATAGCTCTCTTATGTCTTCTAACCAAGGTGTCTAGGCTAGGAATGGGTAAGGGTTCATCTCCTGAAATAATCGTTATATCAGGAAGCAGTAAAGCTAGAACGCAACCACCAGTCCAATTTGCTGGAAGCCTGGGAAAAGCTAAGTTTCCTCCGCACATAAAAACTGTGCCATTAGGGGGACAGATGGGTGGAGTAGGTGAAGAATAATTCTTTACCGATGAGCAGTTTCCAAAGGAAGAGACTCCAACGTCAACATCATAAGTATTATTTTGCATCATGCCTGGGAGGCATGACGTAAAACTACCCAGAGGCTGTACCTTAAAAGGTAGTCCAGACTGACATGTGTTATCATCATTTATGGTATAATTAATGGAGACCGCCACTGGCATAACTGCCCCCCCCCGTCGTCATGCAGAGCCAGCAATCACCAGCAAGGGTAGGATTAGAACTGTTAAGCAAAGAAAAGGTAGTTTCTAGGATATCTAATGTATTGGCATCCAAATCAGGAAGCTGGGATTTTGGCAATTCCAAGGGATGATATGTAAGCTTAGGGATCTCTGGCTTTAAAAGCTTAATCACCTGAAGATGTTTAATAGCATTAGTGGGTCCTCCTCCATCAGAGACTCCGACAGGGGCCTGCATGGGCCAACAGGAAGGTTTGCCTATGGCGCCCTCACATCCCGCCTCCCATAATTTAGTTTCAATGCCTTCTCCTCCCCGGTCACCGAGAAAAGGAGTAAAATGATAAGTGACCCCCCCTTCTCCATGGGTTTTAGTCAGGGTGGCCTCAAAATACCGTTTTCCTTGATTATTAATACAATTGGAGGCTGATTCATAACAGGCGATATGCACCACCGAAGTATAATGACAAGTGGTGGAACAGTTTCCAAGAGTCTCAGTCGAACTAGGGACAACAAGTTTTGGCTTATTAACACATACCCATTTTGGCTGATTAAATCCTCCAATGTTTTGATTGAATTCAGCCGCCATATAGGCCACTTTAGCCCCACAGTCAATGCTTTGGGTAAAACCAGAGGGGGCCGAGTGTCGTGGCCCTCCCTTGCACTCACAAGGGGCTCCAAAAAGATACTCATGAATATTCCCAGGTGGGGGGTCAAGTCCTCCCTCAAAAAACCTGTCCAGAAGGAATGTCATAAGCGGGGTCCAGCTCATGAGGTGTGTCTTGGCGTTCACTTGAAGGGGTGGGAGCATCAGCGGCAAGATCAGCCATCTTGGGAGCTTAATTTTGTCTTGAATTTTCATCCACTGGTCTAGTGCAGCGCTCCGGGACCCAAATGGGCTTCTCAGTCCCTGGGGGAAAAACATAGACAGCTCCCCTCACTCTAGCTAAGAGTGGAGCAGGAGGTTGCCACTTTCCTGTAGCCAGATCCTTCCATCTTATCTGTGCCTTTTGTATGGTGGGAGAGGAAAAGTGACGTTGCGCCACTGTACGGCCTTTAGCATCAGTGAGCAAAAAATTTAAAGTGAATAGGGTTATATTTAATAGTGCATGTGGTCCCTGGCAACTCTGGTATATTTCCCCCTCTTTTGTTTTTTGTAAATAGGTTTTAAGATGTTGATGGGCCTGTTCAACAATGGCCTGTCATTGGGGATTATATGGGATTCCTGTTTTGTGTATAATATCCCACTGTGAGCAAAATTTTTGGAGTGTTTGACTGATGTAAGCTGGGCCATTATCTGTTTTTATGCATCAAGGAGTTCCCATAAAGGAAAAGGTTTTTACATAGTGTTGTATCACATCTTTAGCCTTTTTTCCTGAATGTAGAGTAGCAGAGATAAAACCAGAAAATGTGTCTATACTGACATGTACAAAGGACAACTTTCCCAAACTAGGAATATGAGTTACATCAGTTTGCCAGATGTCATTTGGCTGAAGGCCCCTTGGGTTAACTCCTAGAGAAGGGGAATGGATAAAAGGTGCACAAGTAGGACATAGGGAGACAATTTTTAAAGCTTGATCCCAGGAACATCCTGAGTGGAAACGTAAAGTTTGTGTATTTAGGTGGAATTTATTATGAAGTTGTAGGTCCTTATCATACTCAGTTATTGTATGTGTGGCACACAAGGTTAGTGGCATGTGTGGCAGCTTCTGCCATGGCGTTGCCCGCCACCAGAGGACCTGGAAGCCCAGAATGACTTTTAATGTGACCTATGAAAAGGGGATCTGTCCTAGCCTATATAAGAAGCTGCACTGTCTGTAGTTGTTTCATGATGGTATATTGTTTTCCAATATAAGGTGCCGTCTCAATCGCGGAGGCAAGCCTGGCGAAATAGAGACTGTCTGTGAAAATATTAAGGGGCACTGAAGTATAGGTCTGTAAGGCCAATATTAAGGCTGCAACCTCCACCTTTTGGGCCGAGCGATTGGTCACTCTCTTGCGGATGACCCGGGTCCCATCTGAAACGACAGCAAACCCATCTTTAGTTCCATCGGTGAAGATGGTTTGTGCCCCTGGGAGAGGATCCTCTTTTAGGATCTTGGGGAAAATTATTGGACATGTCTTTAGACTTTGAAGGAGTCTGCTCTTAGGGTAATGATTGTCAACCTGTCCCATGGAACTACAGAAGAAGAGACACCAGAGATCATGTTCCTGTCTTAATTTAGAAAGAATGTCTTGATTATATGGCAATATGAGAACATCAAAGGTTTTTCCAAAAAAGGCATCCCCAGATATTTTGCTTTCCAAACCAATTGTATTACCAGGTCATGGAAGGGTACCAGGGCCTGAGAGGGGGATGCAGGTAAGTGAACCCAATAAATAGGACCAGTCTGCCAAAAGACCCCCGTCGGAGTGAGTTTTGATGGAAGAACGATGAATAAAAAAGACTGGGAATAGTCCACCTGCATCACCTGCATCTCTTGTATGGCTGTCTCCATCAATTTAAGTGCTTTTAAGGCTTCTGGAGTAGGTTTTTGCGGGGAGGTGGGTGAGGGGTCTCCTTTTAAAAGATCATACAGGGGTTTAAGTTCCCCAGTAGGGACATGGAGGGAAGGCCGTAGCCACTGAATTTCCCCCAGAAATGTCTGCCACTGGTGCAGGGGTTTTAAGCTGATTTACCTGGAATTGAGGCCTCTGGGGAGTGATCCCTATCTTGTTAATAGTGTATCCTAGGTAGTTATAAGGGAATTGAATCTGTACCTTCTCTGGGGCTATAATCAGTCCGGCTCCCTTTAACAGGGACTGAAGGACTTCATAAGACCGGAAAAATTCTTTCCTATCAGGGCCTGCCAACAGTATATCATCCATATAATGGACGAGGTAAAAGTTTGAGAATTGTTGCCTAAAGGGTCGCAAAATTTATGCTATAAAATATTGACACATAGTAGGACTATTAGCCATTCCCTGAGGTAAGACGGTCCATTCAAACCACTGGTAGTGTTTCCTAAAGTTTGTTGATGGTAAAGAAAAAGCAAAACATCTACGATCCTGGGGGGCCAGGGGAATAGAAAAGAAGCAATCTTTTAGGTCCAAAATAATGAGATGCCAATCTTTAGAAATAGCCATGGGGAAGGGTAGTCCTGGCTGCAAAGGTCCCATGGGCTGCATTGTGTTGTTAATGGCCCGCAGATCCTGGAGGAGTCTCCATTTCCCAGATTCCTTTTTTATGACAAAAATGGGAGTGTTCCAGGGAGACATGGAAGGCACCACATGTCCCATCCTAAGCTGTTTTTGAACTAGAAGGGTTGCAGCCTGTAACTTGTCCTTGGTTAGGAGCCACTATTCTATCCACACAGGGTCATCTGATAGCCATGTGATAGAGGACATGGCCGCACTTCAGTGGCCCCTAGGAAAAATTTCCTAGCCCCTTTCGGTCCCCACCCCTTCGGGTGACTTCCTCCGTAGGATCCACAGGCGTGACCCTTCCCTCATGATTTTTCCCCAGTCCTTTTCCAGGAAGCCATCCCATATCTAACATCATATCATTAACAAACTTATTACTCCCTTTTAGGATCTGAGTGGTAAGAATAGCTCCCATTTGTTGAAGCAGGTCCCTTCCCCAAAGGTTTGTGGGGAGTCCGGCCATCACATAAGGCTGAAAGTAACCACTGCATCCTTTCTCATCTCTCCATTTTAGAAAAGAGGTGCTTTTTTCTGGTCTAGTTTGCCCAATCCCCTGTAATACAGCTGAGGGATCTTGGAGAGGCCAAGCAGATGGCCATTGTCTTTTAGAGACAACAGAGACATAAGCTCCTGTATCTAATATTCCTTTAAAGATTTTATCTTGTATCTTAATGGTTAATTGTGGCCAGGAGTCCAAATGCACTATCCAAAAGGCCTGAGGGCTGCCGGTGGAGCCGAAACTGCCAGCACCCCGAGTTATCTGTAGGGCTCTATTGGGCAATGGTGCTACTGGCAACAATAATAGTTGTGCTATTTTCTCCCCAGGGGGGATAATAACAATCCCCTGGGTTGCTTCAGCAACAATCTTTAATTCCCCATGATAATCACTATCAACTACACCTGTGAGTATCCTAAGTCCTTTATGGAAAGCACTGCCTCTCCCAAGGATCAATCCTACAGTTCCTTCCAGCAAGGGGCCAAAAGTCCCAGTTGGCAGGGTCTGGGGGCCCATCTGTGGAGTTAGTACCGCTAACAGTGGAACTGAGGTTTAATGCTGCACTTCTGGGTGTTCCTCGGGGGAGCTCCTGGACAGAAAGGGGTTGGTCTGAGGAAGGTGACGAAGTCGCCCACTCCCTGGAGCCCCATTCCATCCCTGGATTGCCCCGTACACTCTGGCTTCCGGGGCCCGGGGCGGGCCCCTGTTCCCGTTTCCCGGCTGTAAGGGATGTCCCTGAGCATCAAACTTAGAACGACACTCGCTGCTCCAATGATTTCCCTTACTGCACCGGGGACAGGGGCCAGGGGTGCCTTCTCGGCCCCGTCTATTCCCTTCGGGACAACTCCGCTTAATATGTCCCTCCTTTCCTCATCGGAAGCAACCTTTGGGTCAGGCCCTTTTACCATCAAACCCTGACAATCCTGTTTTAAGGGCAGCGGCCAGGACCTGTCCAGTAATATGAGCTCCATCGATATTTTTGCAGGCTCGGATCATGTCATCAACACTTCTTGCCCTAGAAGACTTAATAGCAGTTTGGCAATAGGAATTTGCATTTTCGTAAGCCAATTGTTTAATAACTGGCATGGCCTGTTCCAAGTTAGGGAATATTTTTCCTGCCACCTGCATTAATCGGGCAATGAAGTCAGAGTAAGATTCAGAGGGTCCTTGAGTAATTTTTGAAAATTTTGTCTCAGAATTAGAAAGGGGCAATGCCTTCCAGGCTTGGATTGCCGCTGTTGCAATCTGGGCGTATACCCCGGGGTCATAGTTACTTTGTTGATTCAGAGAGGTATACCGTCTGGACCCAGTCAACATCTCCAGATTATGCTGTGGGAACCCAGAATCTTGATTGATATGAGCCAATTCTCGGCACCTTTCCTGATTTTTACTTTTCCAAAGCAAGAAATCTCCCCCCCCCATAACACCGCCCTGCAAAGCTGTTGCCAGTCACCAGGAGTTAACTGGTTGGCAGAAAAGGCCTCAAAAAGTGTCAAAGTGAAAGGGGCGTGAGGTCCGTAGTTAGTGACAGCCTCCTTCAATTGCTTAATGTCTTTAAAAGCTAAGGGAACATGTGTCCTGGCCGGCTGCCCATCCGCATTACGGGTTTCTGCCACTGGAAAAGCCAGGGCATGTTTGGCGCACCACTGGACCCCTCCCTGTCTTCGGGGATTGTCTGGATCCCAATTAGGATTATAAGGAGGGGGAGCGGTGGCAGCCGGAGAGGCAGCTCCTGGGGTATTGGAATGTTTCCAATTTGATCTACTTAAGCGACCCTCCAATTCCTCTATTTCCCTCTCTAGTTCTCCTTCCTCGTCGGAAAGAGAACTAAACTCTCCATCCTCCCTCTCTGGGGTGGACACTCGGAGATGCTTTTTAGTCCTTTTCTTCGAGCCCTGCTCAGAATTCTCGTCCTTTAAGGACACAGCCACTTGTTCTTCCTGTACCTCATTAAGGGCTTGTTCATACTCAGCAAGTTGTTCTTTGATCTTGACTTTATCTATCAATAGAGCATCTTTTACCAATCTCCATAGGGAGAAGGTAGCAATAGGTATACTTTCTGGACCACTGTCTCTCAAAAGTTTTTGGAGGTCCTGTTTCACCAGGTCTCAATCGGTGTTATTAAGAAATCCCCCTGTCAGAAACCAAGGACAAGTCTGGGCTATAGTTTCAACAAATTTGGTTGCAGTTTTGGTTTTTATTTCTGTTCCTTGCTTGCTTAACAGCTCTTTAACCTCGTTGGCCAG